CTGCCATGGCAGGGGGTCGGACTTGATGATCTACTCAGGTCCCTTCCGACCCTACCTACTATGAAACTATAAGCTGGGGAATACTACAAGCCAGCTCAGTGGAGGGGAATGCTAGAGTTGGATCAGAAGCTGGAAAGAGACTGTGACCAGCTGGATTGGGAAAAGATACTGGCTTGAAGATAGGCTGGGGAAAGAAACTGGTTGGAATGGATGGGGAAAAAAAGAGCCTGATCAAAAAAGCCTAGGACTAAAACCCAAGATTCCCAAGCCGCACTAGTCCTCTGCTGTCAGCAAATTCTACTAAAACCCACTGTAAGTTGTCCTTCTCTGTGGCTGGTTCATACAGAAGATCATAACCTACTACGGATTACTATTGGTATCAATTACTTTGTTATGCGAAGTGGTAGGGGTCTATGTAGTGAAGCTAACATTCAAATTCTTCTGCTTAATCTGCAATGCAAGTGTCAATATGATGCTGTATGATGTACTCTTTGTATCTCCATTTTGCTGCTTTTTTTCCTTTTAAGAAACCTTGGATATTGCAAACAAAAATACATTACTGAAGTTGCAAAGTTAAGCACTGACTATGGAATTGTCAGAATCAAGACTGCCATTATCACCAATGGCACTTCACTATGGCTGCACTGGGGTAGACTAATGTTGCTGGCTTGAATAAAGTAGGGGACTGCAGGAAGGCAAACACAAGGTGAAGTTAGCATTAGTCTGCTCTAGTACAACCTTAATTTAAATCTTTGTACAGAGGCATTCTGATATACTCTCAGTGCATACTCATGTACTATTTTCCTTATAATCCCCTCCCTCATTTAGTATGCAGAATGGATGGTGCTTACTTAAACAGCAGTTAGCCAATATTTTGTTTTGGTTTTTTTGCTGAACAATGTGTAGTTCTGACCTATTTATTGCAGTCTTATCAAATCCTTCTTTCAATTATTAAATTTCCTCCTGGGCTTTTTTATGGTGCTTATCACTATAATGTGTATGTTACAGGCAGTCCTCGGACTTAGGACATATTTTTCAGGAACCAATTGTGTCATAAGTCAAAAGGTTGCAACTCGGAACCAATTTTCCTATAGGAAACAATGTTATAAATGGGGGATTGGTTCCTGAACCAAGGCCCGGTATCATTGAACAAGTGGCACGCAGCAACGGAGCTGCTCCAGCCTCCCTGACGAGCCACGGTTTTGCTCCACCCTGGTGAGAGGTGGCAGGGCATGGCAGTGGCATGTGCCCCAGATTTGCTTGGTGCAGCAGTGGCTATGGGGAATTTTAGGGTAACTGCAGCCCCCCCATAGCCCCTGCTCTGCCGCCCGCCCCATGCAGATCCAGGGGTACGTGCCCCCGCCATGCCCTGCAGCTGCCAACGCTCGGTGGAGCAAAACCATGGCTTGTCCGGGAGGCGTGGGGAGGCTAAAGCATCTCTGTCGCTGCGCACTGCTTTTCTGGGGCAGTGCAGTGCCTCCACCATGCACCCCCCTTCCCTACCTAGACAAGCGGCGGCAGGGCAGAGCCATGGGATGTGGATTTGGATTACTTTTTTTTGTAATAGATTTTGGGTTACTTTTTTTAATCTGAAAATTGGGGATTATTTTAATCAGAGAAAACCAGGATCCCTGCTCATCAGATGCATTTATAAAACAGACAGCAACACCTGCCGTGTTCAGAAGGTCTGATATTAGGATTCCCCTCGGATGGAGACTCTCCTTCACCATTTCCTTCCTTCTTTCCTCCAAGCAAGTTAGATAGTGGGCCCCAACTGGTGACACTTTTTTGCTGATTTGTTTTGCGTAGAAAAAATGTTTAAATAACTTTGTATAGAGATTAAATACACCAACATTCTGTGCATAGTAAAATCAACATCAATCAACAACAATAAAGCAGGGTTCATACCCAGAGTAGTGTACAGGCAACCCCTGCTTAGAGCTCTTATTTGGTTCCAGAAAAAACCGAGCACTAAGCAAAACACCATTAAGTGAAACCAATTTTCCCATAGAAATAAATGTAAATAAATATAATTTGTTCCCAAGGCTCCCCACTTGTACTATTAAAAAAAAAAAAAAAAAAAAAAATCACTGAAATCCCCCCACTAGTACTATAAAAAAAACCCAAAAACCAACAATGAATTCAGACATCTAAATATACGTAAATAGTTTATTTAACACTTTGAAATAATGTTTAAAATTACAAAATAAAGTAATGAACTGTATGCACAGATACACTTTCACTTTTTGCTCTTTTGGCTTACTTCAGCACTCAGAATCAGGGCCGTCAGGATTAGTGTCAGTTTCAGTGGATTTTGAAGTGCTTGGCTGAGGATTTTTTTGAGGGGTGGCATCAGGGGTTAAAGCAGGAGTTGTGCACTTCATGAAGAAGGAATCCATTGATAGCTGCACTTTGGGCTTCTTCTTTTCATTGTAAAGCAGCCTGTAACAATTGACTTCATTGTTAACTCCCCTTGCAACTGCAGAACTGCGCTGCATGTCAGGGTCATTCTCATCAAAGTAGGAAAGAAAAGCTTCAAGATGTTTGAAAGCTTCAGCCATGCCTTTGCTGGTTAAGGCCCTTGCTGGTTGAACATCTTCCTTCTCTTCGTGGCTTCTCTGCTGTTCCATTTGGATGAGGTCCTCATTGCTCAATTCCTCCCTGTTGAAATCGATCAACTCCTGGACGTCCTCAGGCTCAAGTTCATCAAATCCAATTTTCCTTCCAAGCTCAACGATATTGTCCCGAATTGTCACCACTGGTTCCTCAAACTCTTGGGAATCCTGGACACAGTCTGCCCAAAGCTTTCGCCAGACACCATTCATTGTTTTGGAGGCAACTTCATCCCAGGCACTTGAAATGTTATCTATTGCCTTGCGGATATTATAGCCCTTCCAAAATTCTTTTAGGGTTGGAGCACCCTCTCCATCTGTAGCCCTCACAGCCTGGGCAAATGTTTTCCTTATGTAATAAGCCTTAAAGGCAGCAATGACACCCTGGTCCATTGGCTGTATGATGCAGGTGGTATTTCGGGGCAGGAAAACAACTTTAACATTATCACTGAGGTCATCAAGTGTGGTAGGATGCCCTGGTGCATTGTCTAAAATGAGAAGTGCCTTGTGGGACAGATTGTTCTCAGCACAATATTTCTCAACTGCAGGACAAAAATAATCCCTGAACCAACTCTGAAATACTGATATTGTGACCCAGGCCTTCTTATTAGACTTCCAAATGACCGGCAGACTGCTTTTAAGATACCCCTTGAGAGCCCTGGGGTTTTCTGAGTGGTATACAAGCAATGGTTTCAATTTAAAGTCCCCTGCAGCATTACCACCAAGCAATAAAGTAAGTCGATCCTTGGACACCTTGAAACCTGGCATCGACTTCTCCTCCCTGAAAATGTAGGTCCTAGAAGGCATCCTCTTCCAGAAGAGGTCGGTCTCATCAGCGTTGAAGACTTGTTGAGGCGTATAACCCCCCTCCTCAATGATTTCTACAAGCTTATTTCTATAAGTGAAAGCTGCTTGGGTGTCACCACTAGCAGCCTCCCCCTGAACAGAAACATTATGCAAGTTGCTGCGCCTCTTAAATCTTTCAAACCACCCCTTACTTGCAATAAAAGGCTCAGAAGCAGACCCCTGAGGTAATTTTTTCTGTAAATCATCATAAAGACTCTTAGCCTTCTTCTGAATAAGCAGCATACTCAAAGGCATACGGCGTTGAGTTGTATCCTCAATCCAAACACTTAACAGCCTCTCCATTTCTAACATGATTGGAGCCCTACTTCTACTGAGTTTCAAAGCATTCAAAGGAGTTACAATTCTACCACATTCTTTTATTTTGTCTTTATTTTTCAATATGGTCCTAACAGTTGACCCAGCCAAATTCAACGCTCTACAGACCTCATTCTGGCGTTCCCCTGCTTCAATTCGCTTCAGGACATCCAATTTAAGCTCCAGCGTTATGCTTTTGCGCTGTTTTTTCTCAGCACTTGCAGTCGCAGAGTCAGTTGCACGTTTCCGACTCATGATGATTGATTTCAACTCAAAAAACGAAGCAAGACAGAGACACAAGCACGTAAGAGCATGAAAGAGCACAGAGCACAATAGTTTTCGATGAAGCAAGATGGCGACGAGGCTGCGTGCTGCTGATGCTCCCTGCTTGATACCGAAACCCGTGAGCGCCAAGTGAAACCAGGTATCAAAGTGAAATAAGCACTACCGTGAAATAGCGCTTATTAAAACACCGTTATGAGGGGCTTGCCTGTATCCTAAAGCATATTCATATGCAACTTTAAATCCAGCATTTCTTAACTTTGCAGTATTAGTCTTTGAAGATTTAGTGTTACGTGTGTGCGCATAATTCTGGAAACTACAAAATGTGTTTATCATTTACGTGACCTAGGCTCAAACTAACCCTCCTCCATGCACCTACATACTAGGTTAGGTTTGTGAACTCTGAATAACTCTGATCTATTAGTAAATTTTGAAGCTAAATATTCAAGAACTGCAGTGCCAAAAGTTAGAATCCATCAACTCTAATTCATGCCCAGGCGTGAAAACTTAAACTGTTAACTTTTTGATCTGTGCCCAGTCTTTGAATCTGCACATCTCATTAAGAGACTGACAGGTTGTCAATTGTACCTGCAAGTTTGCAGGTGTAATACGGCTGGACTGCAGCCTTCTGAAAATCTAGCCTCCCAACATGTGGCCCAGAAGATTGCTCATGGAAGACTACCTATGTTTCATCCACTAAATATTTTGTAGGGTGCTAAGAAATCACATCTTCCTTGGCAAATTCTAAATCATCCTAATAAGAAATTAGTGAGACTGGAATCCTCCAAGAACATTTCATTCACAAGCAGTAGTAAGCAAAGCAAAATATATATATATATAAACTAAATACAATGTAATAGAAAAATAGAACAAAATATCTTTTTAAAAGATATTCAAATACATGTTTGTATTAAAATGCCAAAAAAAGAAGTTAAAGGAGCCTACCTGTTTATTTTTGTAAGGAACAGAATAAATGACATCGTTGCTAAAGTTTTCGTTTCTTTCCTCTGTACCCTGATAGCTGGCTTCTGGCTCCTTTTCTATGTCTGAAAGATAAGTATCCATATCCTCGTCCTCACAAAAATTGCCTGACACTTCCAGAGACTGCACAGGTGATCTTTCACTCCCATCCCGCTTCCAATTGGGCCTGTAAGTGCAAAACACTTTAAAACACAAAATGTAAAGCTTGTTCTGATTTTTAAAAAGCTAATAAAGTAGAAACGTGTCAAACAATACATGAATCAGAGCTAACAGCAGATATCCAACACCAAAACCCAAGTTTCTTAACAGTAAAAAAAAGAAAGTCTTTCAACGGTGTACATTCCTGTTTATACCCATGACACTTGGAATTAGGCACAAAGGCATATATATCTTCCCTTGTACATTAATGGAAATGCCAGAATGAAGACAGGACTGCTAGTACTATTGCATGGCATAGACTGTGAAGAATATAATATGACCTTGAGGAATTACCTGATGAATGACTTGAAGGATTCCCTAATGGGTAGTTTTCTGTATAAATGAAGTTTGGCTGGTAGAAGTCCAGAGTCAAAATTTTACTGCTGCCTGCAACTCTCCAAACTTTGTCTTTTGGAGGCTGCAACTATGACACTGACTTATGGGAAAATTAAAATGAAGGAGAAGAAACTGACAGGGCTTCTGGATTCAGTTTAGCACAGATAGGGGGAGGGGTGGAAAGAAGTCTAAATGTGTGATGGTGCCAGTGACTCAGTTGATTCCGTAATTCATTCTCAGATTACATGTCTAATGAGTGACGCTGAAATAAAAAGTGTACGCTACCCCATTCTGAGCTCTGTGATTGTGGCATAGGGCTCAAAGCCTTCTTGTTCCAAACAAGTGGAATCACTCTCAGAGAGTGATCTCTGCCGAGGCTGAGGAATAGCAACAGTACGTCCAGTTAATGTTGTCACTAGAATAGCTGCTGCCAAGGCGGATCTAGAAGAGACCAAAATACAATGGTAAAATGAAACATTGATTTTTTTCCCTCCTCTCTATGGCTCAGCTTTTATTTGCATCTTTAAGTACCTTCACTAACTAAGCAATAACAGACAAAGTTTAACAATCAAATAAGAACATAGGGGACTTATTTAAGCCACAAAACCATAGAGACCATTAAGGCACAAACTCAGCTGTATTAAAATGCTGTAGAAATCAAAGGTAAAATGAGACTTGTCACATTTTCCTGTCACACAAATGAAAATCCCCAACTCAAGCTGGATATATGAAACCAAGAGCAGAATTTATGATGCATATTCTACAGTATCAAGTGTTGACCCTAATGACAAGTGCTCCTGATAAATGATGAGTTGGAACACCAATGTCCAGATACTTAAGTCTGTAAGTCCCTTTTATTCTCTACTCCAATGCTTTTGCTGTGCAATTTCATGCTGGTTAACTAATTTTGCAGGACTCTGAGCTAGAATAGGACAGTAGGATATGCCTGTTTTGGGGAGAAGATTCTGAAGTCAAATAAAATGAAGAGAAAGGAGACAATAGGATTAGAGAGTTTAAAACAAAACAAAAAAAAAACCAAGTAAGAATCATGATAGGAACCACTCTTAATGAGACCAGAGGAGGAGAAAGGAGTTAGGATTGCCTAGGACAGGGGTGGGCAAAATGTGACCCGCGGGCTGGATGCGGCCCACCAGGTCATTATATCTGGCCTGCAGGGCCCCTAAAAAAATTTAGAAAATTAATATTTAGCTGCCCCTGGCTACCTGTCATATGGCCCTTGATGGCTTGCCAAAACTCAGTAAGCGATCCTCTGCCTGAAATAATTGCCCGCCCCTGGTCTAGGAACATACTACACATGGGAGGGAAACTGGAAAGTGACCAGGAGCCAAGAGGAACACATAGAAAAGAAAGAGAAAATGTGAAAAGAAATTAAACATGGCAGTCACTTTTATTCTATGCAGTGTCCTGGCTGTAGGTGGTTAAGTCAAAGGGTAGTAGAAGTTCGGAGAAGAGTAGGGATTGTTCATGGTTTTTCCTTTCATGCCTACTTAAGATATTTTTTTTTAAATATACATTTTTCCCATTTGACAAAAGGCCACTTAAAGATTTCCTTGTGGCATCATTCTTTTAAAGTTACGCCTGACGAAAACCTTGGCGTAGTAAAGTAGGGAACTTTTTCTATTTTTGTTCTAATTTTTTTTCATTTTGTTCTTAAATTAGATGTATTACATTGTTGTCACATAGCTTTTTTATGATTTCTAATTTGAGATTGTGGTTAAAATAAATGCAAACATTTGCAACCGTTTGAAAGGAAATCTTACTTTATGCCTCAAAAAGGCTTTTTCCCAAAGAAGAGCTAATGAGAGAGAGAATATCCATGCTTCATTTAATGTCACTTAAATACTATATTGTTATAATGGGAGCCCTAATAACAAACTAATCCTAGCCATTTGATAGGCAGAGCTCATTTATCTTGGTTATAAAATAAATTAACAAGTGTTTCATAATATGGGTCCTGTTGGTGGTAATGAGTAAACAAAAATGTACCTGGATTGGACAGGTAATCAAAAGATTAAATTTAATTACAGGACCTCTCTCTCTCAACTCATTGCTCAAACTGCGCGTACACTTGACATGTATGGAGTTATGCCTCTTTACATTTGGAGTGAATTTAAATAAATGCTCTGATCCTGCAAACACAAGAGTAGGCCCCCAAAAAACTCCTTGTGTGTATATATGTATATGCTCCTGGAGAGGGTCTCATTTTTTACAATATAAGCTGACTTAAGCCCTAACTAAGACTAACTGCACGTTTAAACAAGGTAATGGGAACTTTTTCTGTGTGGAAGCACCAGCATTAGGTTCTTAAAGTTAAAGGCATTTGACTTTTTGTTTTGGGATGCTGGATGGGTTGTAGGCCTTCAATATCTAAATCCTGTTTTCTGGAAACAGGCTTTAAATAAAATGGCAACTTTGATAAAGTCTTATTGTACTCCAATTACACATTAATGCATACCAAAGTTTAAAACCAATGTGCCTGGAGTTTCTGATATAGTATCTTTCATCCTCATATAGTAAAATATGAAATAATACAATCTCTGCCCCTCTTGGTAATCAAACCAACATTAGACCCATCTTATACAGCATTTTCACAGGTAATTTCTCAGTGATTTTCCAACAGGAGTTATGTATATATTAGTCTATAAGATATGGGTCTAATTATTAAGAGTACTTGGGAAGATGAGAAGTGTATAGATAGTAGCAGTTTGAATAAACATATTATCCCATACAGAAAATATTCTAATTAAGAAAAGGTTTAGGTAAGAACTACAGCAAAGAAGTTAAACTATTCTAATCATATGGTTCTACTGTTTACTGTTATTATGAAACTTAAGATGCAAAATAAAAAAAACACAACTTTAAGACCTACCTGGGCCTCTCTGGAGAAGGGTTTGGACTACGAGGGGGAGGGGTGCGGGGAACTGCAGGTTTAGGAGCTATGGTAGCAGCAGGGACCAGGCCATGAGCTATATGTTTCTAAACAATTTAAAATAAAGTTAGTTGGCAATGACTTGAAGGATCACAATGAAGTTACACAAAACTGTGAACATGCATAAAAACTAACTATACAAAGTAACATAAAAGGGAAGAACATTTACATGCAAATTAATGTGCACAAATGAGTTGGTTCCAAGTACGGCAATTTTAGGAATGTATTAAGAGATGCTGACACTGGTTAGAGATCTGTGATTCATCCAAGACCAAAACCAGGTTCTTCCATGCCCTTTTAGTCCACAAAAATGAGTTTCTAAACTACAGACTTCCCTTAAAGCCCACTCTTGTGTGTGACAGAGGGGCAGTGGTACTAAAAGGACCGGTTTCTATCAGTTTAAATCCTGCTTTCCCAAGAATACCACAGTCTGATCCTCCCTCTGGTGGGACTACAGAGGACATAAACTGCAGTGTTTATCTGTCAGTTGGTCACAGAGAGAACAACATGAAAAGATATACAGGTTTCCCTTGATTTATGTGGTACATGCATTCCCAGAAAACTGCGCATAAACTGAATTTGCATAAACCCAGTTTATAATGTAAGAAATAGGAATACGTTCCCGCAATGGTGAAAGAGGGAGGGAGTAAGGCTGGGACTAGGGAAGGAAGCGGGGGGAGGGGGGAATCAGCGCAGCCCATCCACTGCTCCTGGGGCTGCAGCAGGGAGCAAAGCAGAGGGAACTATCAGTGGGTGTGGGGCGCAGGTCAGGGGGCGTGCAGCTCTTGCTGCTATGTGCACCCTGGGAGGGCTACGGGCTGGGAGGCTGCACCAGGTTCTTAATGGGGGGACACATGCCCCCAGATCTGTGCGTGGGAGGAAAACAGCCTGCTGCTGCGGACTGGGGGCAGCACCAGGCTCTTCCCAGTGCTCAGGGTGGGTGGCACGGCTGAGAGGGGGGCTACTGCCACCCCAAAATTTGCCATAGCACCCCCCCAACCTGCCCTTCCAGTCCCTCCGCCAAGTGCTGGCAAGAGCCTAGCGCCACTGCTTGCTGCAGCAGCAGTGTGTTGTTGTCCCGCGTGCAGATCCGGGGGCATGTACCCCCCCCCCCGGAAAGAGCCCAGCACAGCCCTCCCGGGGCACAGGTAGCAGCAAGAGCCACGCCCCCCATCCCATGCCCGCACTGACAGTTCCCTCCGCTTTGCTCCCTGCTGCAGCCCCAGCCCTCCGCTTCTACCCATTCACCCCAGCCTGCTGCAGTGGCCCCAGGAGCAGCCGATGCCAGCTACCTGCAGCCCCGAACCCCCCAGGGCTCCGCTTATCCCCACTCACCCCAGCTTCTGGTGCAGCAGACCCGGGAGCAGCTGACACCACCTGCTTGCACCACAGTACGGCACAGCCCAGGAGCTGAGGTGAGTGGGGACAGGCAGAGCCCCAGGGGGTTGAGGGCACAGTGCAGCCCAACAGCTACAGGTAGTTGGTGTCAGCCACTCCCAGAGCAGCTGCAGCAGGGGCAGGGATGAGTGGGGTCCTGGCCCCATGGCCCTTTCCCCTCTCCTCACAGACTTACCTGCTGGGGGGGGCGGGGGGGGGCACCTATGCCAAACACGAGTGAATTTACCTGCTATGTAACAAATTTTGAGTATAAGAAGGGTCATCACATAAGAGCAAATTCACATATACAAAACCCACATAAATCGAGGGAAACCTGTAGTAATTTCTTCTTCTATCTTACTTTCAAACTAAATTTTGATTAATATAAGTGGTAGGGGAATGTTACTATTATCTATAACCTACTTTCATGAAGTGTTGCCATACGATAGCATAAGATAACACTGTTGTTGTTGTTGTTGAGGATTAAAGCCATCAACTCCCCAGGTCTATGACATGGGATTTGCCACGTCAAACTTAAGATCCTATCCTTGGAGCAAGTCTGGGGGAGCGGGATCATTTTCTGCCACAAACAGCTTTCCCTTTCTTTGCGGTAGAAGTAAAACGCCAGGCATGCAAATTGGGAAGGCAGCGATACAAATCGACTCGACGCACAACCCTACGCCACCGCGCCGCAACAGCTTTCTCTTTCTTCCACGTTCTTCAGCAGCTGCCGCCGTCTCCAGAAATACTGGTTGATTTATATCCGGCATCTGAGCCCGCACCCATCCTTCAGAGAAATGATTGAAAAGGGGCTGACCGCAGAGGCCTCTGTAGGACCAGTGGGATATGAAAGGGAGGGTGACAAGCGAGCCAGCACCCTGCACTGCCAGACTGCGCTGCTCAGTTGCTGGTTTTTATTCCGCTAGCCAAAGAAGTGAATGCATGCAATAATAATAATAATAATAATAATAAATAATAATAATAATAACAACAACGATGATGTGGTGTCTGTGTGACTCAGGAGGCCGCGAGTGCAGTGCAGTCAGGGCTGGCTCGGGTCCCCTCATCCCTAACACCGCGACGAGAAGTAGCTGG